GAACGTGCCAAAAGCACGGAAAAAGTGTGCTATTTCTCCCGTATTGGAGATTGAAGTTTGGACTTCCAATGGCACGCTTTTTCTGTGCTATTAGCATACTTTTACCGTGCTTTTCCGGGACAGTGCATAAGCGATACTTTTCTCACATCAAATATACGGATTTTCATTAGACAAAAGTAGACCAATAACATTTTGAGAAAACAGGGTTCTAGAAATAGCATCTCTATAGCTGTTTTAAACCAATTTTGTATTAGTTTAGCTAAAAATAAGATGGATTGCGAATTAATAACTATTTCGTCTTGACTGGAATTTTAGAACAGAGTGAAAATCAGATGAGAACAGTAATCGATATTTCTGACTTTTGTGATCAAGAAAAGCGGGTGAAAATGGAGTGGGCCAAAAATATCTTTGATGCCATTTTGTAGAGCTCGACGAGTACTACAAATGGGAGCAAAATAAAAGAATTCTGTCGTATAGTTTTTCTGTTGTGGGACCTGAAAGTTGACTATTTTTGAAAAAGGATCTTCAAAGATGGGTTTCATACTCAAAGAGAGAGATACATATCGGCCGTATTCCTTTTCTATTGGATTAATCAGCTCTTTGGCTTCATTTTTATGTATAGTGCAAGTACTTTTTGTTTTGTTTTGCCTTCGGAAAAGGGGAAATACTAAGTGCCGTTTTTTCATTTTCGGCCATTTTGTGATAGCTGACCTGCCATTGTAAAAGTACTAGGAGAAGTTTTCAATATTAGTATTTGTACTACTCGAAGTGCTCTTTCGTGTGGTATGCCCAACGGTGGTGTAAGTTCTGTAGAGGCAGAGAAAAATAAGATCAAAGTTGCTTTATTAGAAGGAGAGTCGAAACTTGACAAAGCCGAAATCCTTGAAAAGGCATATAGACTGACTTTTTCAGTGAACAACTATGGATTTCTATGTGACTTTTTATGCTCTACACGGGAAGAATCTTGAATTTTTTCGGGCTCTTCGGTCATGTATAAACTGGCGGACCTAAATGGAAGTACCCAAACAAAATAGAACGTTTCTTTATGAACAAAATTAATAAGTTATTATTCTCTCCTTTCTCTCAAGAGTAAAGACAAACGTCATCGACGTTGAGTTTAGTCAGCTTAAGTCGCGAATCTTAAGCACAGCATTTAAAAACACAGTACGATATTCTAGCGCTAAAACGTTCGTCAGTAGTGAGGTTCATGTTTACAACTTGATTGGTAACTTGTCAAGAGCCAATGCTAAATGGAAGCTAGTCGTTGCTCTTGACTGTTGTTTTTGAAATACTTTGCATCTACTAAAACCTGATGATACTGCTTCACTAGAACTTAACCGTCTGGTAGTAGGTAAGGTTTCTAATTTTTTAAAGGAATACTAGAGCTATAGAAAGAAAATCTTTTGTTTTATTCTTTCGATTAGTTCTCTTTTCTAAGGAGACATGTTCAAAGTACAGAAGCTAAGGTTTTGTTTAAGCAGTGAGTTCTGATCTTGCTTATTCATGCGCATCCCGGTAAGCCAAATATTGGCTTGGGATACGCACTACAAAGTTTTTAAGGAGATGCTTCGACGGGAATTGGGTTTGACTTAAACAACTCTATTTGTATTTATTTTATCTTCTCTTTGTTCATTGGGGAATGCTCTCTTATTTTTGTTTGTTTTTAGTTATACAGGTATCACTAAGGCTTCTGTTTATCAGATGTTATAAGTTACTAAACGTTTACTTTCTTTTATGATGTCCTTGCTTATGCAAAATAAATTTGAACTTGAACTTGAACTATCGCATATTTAGAGATCTTTTTTTCCTGTCTAAGTTTGACAGCTTTTGAGCCAACTATTTCTTTTTCTAGATTTTCATGTAATGGCTTGGTGTCTAAACGGGCCTGATGCAGACTCGAGTATGTAAATACAATCTTACTGAGAATTTACCTTTGATACTAATTTTGTAATTTTGTTTTTTTCAGCACTTGTTCGTTTCATATGCAATAAAAAATATACACTTGGACGAAAAAATTGTGATATACTTATTGAATGTAATGCCGCTGTGAGTCGCTTGCATTGTGAAATTGAGTTACAATATTCAGAAGACCAAACTGTACGTATTTTCACATGTTCTCATGATTCAACTTTGTTAGGTACGTATAGTCCTTTTCATTTAGGTCGATATCAACAAATTGCCAAGTGTAACAGTAACGGATAAATCAAAAGCTGGCACATTTATTAATGGAAAGAAAATTGTTGATAAACAAATATTGCACAATGAAGATAAAATTCAATTTGGTACAGCAGAGACATGGACGTAAGAAAAATTGAACGCAAAATTGAATTTTTTCCTCCAGACGCCTGATGTGAAATTTTTTTTGAATGTCGTAAATCGGAAAGTTTTAGTACATTAGTACTGGTGAAAATAAGGCATAATATGATTAGAAAATCATTTTAATATATTTCTTTTAGTTTACGATATAATCCATTGCTGGTATGCACATCATCTGTCGGCGCTGATGTTACTAAAAAATTAAAAGAACGTTTAGTACAACTTGGTGGTCATTTGATTGAACAATGGAAAAAGGAAATGAATTATTTAGTTATGGATACTGTTAAAGCAACACCAAAAGTAGGTTTCATGTTACTTTAATACTTTTTTTTAAACATATTTTTTCTTTTTCAAAAGGCCTTGAGCTCACTAATTTGCCAACAACCAATCGTGCTAGTAACCTATTTTGACGACTATGTCGATTCTGTAAAAAAAGGTGCATCGACCTTACCAAATCCGAATGAGTATGATTTATTCGTTTCTTTTAATAGAGTAATATTTTTAATGTTATTAATTTTTGTTTGTTTTCAGTTATGTACCACCAATAGCATCAGATGAAATGTTGCGGCCTTCTGATTCTCTAGCATCTACACAAGACGACATCGATGTAAGACAAAATATAAGACGAAAAACATTGTTTAAAGGAAAAACATTTCTATTTACAACCAATCGTTCGGTAAGAAAATTGAAAGTTGACATATTAGATCGATGATCATAAATTTTGCTTTCGTCTTCGATTGATTTTGATTTAAAGCAATTTAACTAGTACTTGCTTGAGAAAGAAATATTTTGATTGATAGTTATTTATCAAATGTAAGATGCTAGATTTTTTGCTTGACAACAAAGGACATTATTTACACAAGTGAAGAAGTTAACTTATTTCTTCATCCCAGCCTCTTTCTGATTAAGCATACAATTGCTAAAATGACTTAATTAGAATAACGAACCGTCCGATACTCCAAAAAATAGAAATTCAGTTTTGCTTAAAAATGATGCTTTATACGAATAATCATTACTTTCGAAAAAGTTTGTTTTTATAGCATGAAACTTTATCCGGTTTATTAAAATTTGGCGGCGGTGAAACTGTCTTAGTTAATAAAGTTGATAAAACAACCGAAATAAAAATAAAAGATATCAATACATACGTTGTTGCTGCATCTGATTCAATAGGTGATAAAAACAAACTACAAACCGAATTAGTTGAAATACTGAAAAAGCAAGTATTTTTTGTTTAGACAAAAATTTATTTCTTCTCATCACGGTTTTTCTGTAGGCATCATCGAAAGATGATCACTGAAAATGAACTGGTTTTAAGTATATTTCGTGTGTCTACTGAATCATTTGATGTGTTTCATTCAACGATGCATTCAACAGGCAAAACGATGGTGTCGGCTACATCCGAAGAAGGAACTCAAGTATTAGGGTAATGGATTATGCGATATAGTCAATATTTTTGTATATAATTATTTTCATTTGTTTAGCAATCGTACGCAAGCTGACTTTTCATCATCACGTATTAATAATACTACTGTAAACGATGATGCCAATCATTCTTCACTATCAATGCCGCCGCCAACAACAGCAAGAGCAACACGATCAAATCAAGATACAAAATCACGACCATCATCATCTATTGACGATTTATTTTCATCATCAGCAACCATAACACCACGAAATAATAAACGCACGAGACAAAATCAACAAAAAGATGAATTTGACGAATTATTTGATATTAGCACATCATCATCAAAACGTCATCGAGCTGATATTGAAAAAAAGGATGAACCGATGACAGTTGATCAGAACAGAAGAGCCACAAATAGTACATTATCGCAAGTAACAACAACACCGAAATTCTCAAAGTCAGAAGTATCGAAAACAACTGACAGTGAAAAACGCAAACAATCAATGACAACGATTGATGCATTTTTTGATAATATTGATACAAATAAACGATTAAAACGAATGAAACCAGATAACGATAGTAGTGGTGTCATTAAAACAGGTTCCGATCCATTTGATATTTTCGGTATGAGTTCAGCATCAACCACAATGAAACCAGTGTCTAAAATCTCATCAAGTTTAAATGATATAACAACAAAAATAAATACCAATCAAAAAAATAAAAAAGTGAATCTTTTTTTCGATGTAGACGATTTACCAGAACTCAAAGAAGAAATGGAAGATGAAAAGAACAGTAAGGTAAAATAAACAAACTTTTATACTATCCTTCTTAGCTATGGTTGTTGTTCAGTACACAAGTCATCCTTTGAGAAGTCGATAATTGTTCAGATAGTATCGATTAGAAGAGTAAATAAAAATCCATTTGTGATATTAGCGTATCTTGTACTTAGCTGTTTTGATAATTCGAATGAAAATGATGTCTTTCATTTCCTTGGAATGTTTAGATCAATTATGTACAAACAAAACCGATTGTTGTAAATGTATGTAACTGGATGACAAAACCAGTAAAAAAAGTGAGTTTTTGGAATGAAGTATGCTTATGTGAAGAGAATGAGTTTATAAAGTCAACGTGGATTGAGAGAAGTACAATTACACTTTTTATGAAAATACGTCAAGTCTAAGTCAATTCATACGTTTTTTTTACTTTTAGGTTGAACCAGTGTCTCAAGATGAACGAAATGAAGCACAAGAATATGTTCCACAAAGTCAACGAAATTTAATGCACATTCAATTTAGTGCTCTTGTTTTGCTTGACACAGATAAAAAACATAGATCCAGTACATCTGAAAAGAATAAAAATAAATCAAAAGATTTAGTATCCGATGGAAAATGTTTTCGAAAGGTACGCTTGTTACTTCACGTTTCTCTTTATATTTGTATAACCAGAACATGATCAAAACATATCCGCAGCGAATGCATTTTTCTTCAACAGTATTTACTAATTTTCAGGCTCTAGTCTAAATCCTAAATATTCAAATTTATGAAAACACGTTTAATCTGAGTTTTGCATCCACCATTACCAATGTTATCGATTAGGGGGTGGTAGGGGATAGCAAACCACCCCCTCGTTTGGATACAGTTACTCAAGAAATTTTGACTTACTCAAATTTTTTAACAAATTTAAGTTGAGAAACTGCCTTTTATGCACCTGAGTAAGTGATTGGTTCAGAAGCTTCTGAGTAACTCATTTTTTTCTGATTAACTGAATTATCAAAAAAAAAGACTCCCCATCCCCCCACCAAAACTACTATCGAAAACACTGACCATTACTTTACTATTATTAAATGCTTAAATTCCAAAACGAAGATGCGAGATAGTTTCAATGCTGTTTAGTTTTTAATCTAAGGACGAGAGTTAGTCTTTAGTCTTTAGAAGCCACTAAAATGCATAATCTAAAAAAAGCTTTTACCCAGCTCATACTTCGGCTTAAATAAACTTAAATAAAAACTATTGTATCCAACAACAAATCCGAAAGTTCTTCTTTTTATCAGTATAGATACCTGTATTTCACATACGATAGAGTCTCGACTCACTCCGAAGGTGTAAAATGCTGTGAGAAATGATGAGAAGTACTAAAATGTTGAAAAAATAAACGTATCTTTTCAAAGAGAGCGAAATTTTTTCGAATGATTTCGCAAGCATTAAAACACGATTTCAGTATGTTTTTGTGTAGTTTCAAATACGTTCTGTCTCGTTAAGTAGAGCGAAAATCGTTTGAATCTAAATATCCGGCGCAAAGGTTAATTTCTCACCAATCAAGTAAAAATAGCAAAAGTTGTTACCTATTTTTGTGTAGTGGAACAAAACAAAGTTTTTTTTCGAAATCTTAGAGATGTGACCATAACGACTAATCAATTTTTTTCAAAATTAAAAAAAGCAACCTGAATGGATCAAGTTTGACTAAGCTTTATTTCTTTTATTGGAAGGCTCGAATTATTGGTAAAAAATAATGAAATTCTTGCGCCCTCAATTCTAACTGAAAAAAATTATAGATGGAAAATAGAGCTTTTCGAGACGTACACGATGACTACTTTAGCTTTCCTTTCTCACAAACTTTTAGCAGATAATACTAAAAAAAACTGTAAATACGTTTATTTTTTCAACATTTTAGTACTTCTCACCATTTCTCATAGCATTTTACTTACACCTTCGGATTTTGAAATAAAACAGTCAATACATTTTTTTGTAGAAAATTCAACAGGAAATCTTTTGGTAAAAAAACTAGCTCAATCAAGTGTAAGGAGGAGAAGAAAATTTGAAAATACAAACAGTCTAATTTATTCTGCGCCACTCGATAAATACTAACACTAGTGTTAAGTCTAAAACTAAACACTAAAAACTAACTCCCGGAGGCTTTCTGTAAAATGAATTCGCAGCGTGTTCTGTATAGTCATGATGTGTGTGTATAACTGACAACATCATATTTTCCTATTCTATTTCAGCAACTTGTGTTATCCGATTCAACTATTGTACGCAAAGAAAATTTACAAAGTTGTTTTAATGCTTTATTGGAGGATACAACAATAGCAAAAGCAAGTACAACAAAAGATGCAAATAAGACTCATGTGAGAACCAATAGATGAATTTTTTAGATTTTTATTAAATATGCACTATTTTTTTGTATAGAAAAAGACAACTCCAAAATCAAGGAAAAAATTATCTACCGTAATGACTGATGATGATTTGAGTGATGATGATGAATTAAATAAAACTGTAGAATTTTTCAAGTATGTAATCAATTTGAACGTTGTGAAATTACAAAATAAGATACTAAATAGATTTCTCTTACAAAGACGTTGTTATTTTAAGATAAAGCACATATTTCCAAAAGATTTTTGTAATTCTGATTTATTTTGAGACTAAACGAGGCAAAATTAACTGAACAGTTTTACAATATTCCCTACTTTGTTTGAGACCCTCGAATTAATATTTCTAGTAGAATCAAATGACGTTTTTTACTATTGCTTTCTGTGTTCTAGTATGAAAACATCAACTTTAAATAGCCGAAAGAAGTAGACAAGATGTACGTTATCTTTATATTTTTAATATCAATTTTTTCTTAGTTATTATTATTATTATTGTTTCTGCATATATTTTTTATGAATTAGATTCGTGTTTTTCTGTGTTTAAATAATTTCCATTTATCTTTCTTGCTCCTAGTCATGATTCTTTTTTTGTATATATGATTATTCTTTTAAATAGCGTGCGTAATAAGCAAGAAACTCAAGCAAAAGTTGAATAAACTAAAAAGTTGTTATTTAAAAAATTTGAAGACAGGACAAACGGTATTGTATTTGAAAAAATAGTTCACGGTTTTCAAATAGACATTTCTTATAACTGATCTATTGAAATTGTTACAACAATAGAGTGTAAAAAGACAAGAAGTTTTGAGAGATATCATCCAAAATACTTTCGAGATCGTTTGATCTATTTTAAATATACGCAAATCAGTTCTTCTTCTGACGTTGTATAGTGAGTGTGCCGAGTAGAAAGGTTTGACTTGCGCTCAAAACAATAGTTATAACTCGCTCATTTTCCATCCAAATTTAAGACTTATTACCATTTTACTCAAAAGATCCTCATACTTCTCGCTCTCTCATACGAAATAATTGAGAAAAGTTATAAGAGAACAAAAATCGTTCTATACAGTAGTACACTCGCCATTCTACTTATGATTTTTTAAGTTTTTACTTTAATTTCCTCTTTTTCCAGTCGTATTGTTTGAAAAAATAAACTAACTTACAAGGTAAATGCACAGCAATATTAGAGAGAGAATTAGAATTGATAAAGATAAATTCTTTGTAGTTCCACTTCGTCACAAAGTTGAACTATTCTTCGTTAATCCAGTTTTGAGCACGAAGAAGGTTCCTCAGATGATTAATTCATCAAATTCAAGAATTCTTCCCGTTTTATAGACTCAGTTTAACATAATAATTATACTCAAAATAAAAATGCACTAAAGCGAGGAATGCATTGTAAGACTGATGTCATCACATAATGTGAATTTTCTTGGTGTAAGATCGTTACCATAGATGACTTTCAAGATCTAACGAGGATTAATTTGACGCATAGAGATTGGGCGCCTATAGCTAGCCTCAGTCACAGGCTGTTAGACTGTGTCTAGCAACGAACTGATTCTGATGGTAACATCCTCATTCTCGTGTATACATTGTCCGAAAAATCCAAGCGTGAATGCTATATGGAGCATGAAGATAAATTATTTCCCAAGCAAATAAAAAGTATTGGGTATTGGGCACGCCTACTATGAAATATCTAGGCACAGATGTCACTTTTATTGGATTATCTAGATATATTGGGCATGGTATTTCCTAATACCACAATAAAATATCTAGATATTTTCATATACGAATTTTTGCTTGGGTTCTTAGATGCAAGACATTTCATTAGGGTTTGCATGTTATTTCTGTGCTTTTCTAAATTCATGTCTTAATATAAAATTTGTCTTATTTTATTTAAACCAATTTAAACAGTTCGATTTAGGATTATTTATCTTCCAATGTGAACTGATCTATTTCATTCAAAACTTAGTTTATCAAATGAGGATTGGTATAAAACGAGATTCAAATTTATCATGTGAACGCAGTCAGAGGCAAAATTCGACTCTGGAAGAGATTAGCGGCGTAGACAGAAAAAAATCTAGACTGGGCTTGCGAGGGAACCGCCCAGGTGCCCAACTCCGATTTCCTTCATTCATACCTCGTTTTATAGAGCACATCGAGCTGGTAAAAAGCCTAAAAGGATATCGGCTGACGACTCTTTAAGACCCGGTTTTCTGGAAAACCAGTTTTTCAGAAACTCTAACAGAATAACCAAAACCTTTGTTAATGAGACATGATTGTAGCCCGCGAAA